CTGTCTAGAACTTCTTTTATAATTTTTTTTAGTTGTAGTTGGACACAGTACCCTTATGTTATTTATTTATTTATTTTTATGTGGTGCTGAGGATCGAACCCAGGCCTTGCACGTGCAAGGCGAGCGCTCTACCACTCAGCCACAATCCCAGCCCCCAGAACTTCTTAAGACAGTCAATTTCAAATGGTATTCAAAGATAGTACTTGGCCTATTAAGACAAATCTCTCACAAAATCTCTCTATTGTTTCCAAGAAGATGCTGATTTTTAGATTCCTGGAGAAGGCTGATGCAGGAAGAGATGCATATAAGATGCCCCGTTTTCCAAATAGGACCAAGAAAAGGGCCCCAAGTTACATAGAAAGAAATCTTCCAACTTCAGTTGTTCCTCTGAGAGCAGACGCAAACTTCTACAAAGCTCATAAACTTACAACTGCCCCTCCATTCTTTCTGCAGTCTACCTCTCCGTCGACAGGCAGTGAATGACGGGCAAGTATCGTAAGCTGGGTGACAGTTGGGCCCAAGCAGACTGCACTCCCACAGCATCCTGATACGGGAAGAAACCAACATCCCCCCATATCCAGCCCAGTTGCCCAGTCTCTCCATTGTCACAATTAGCAAGGCGTACCTCGTCTTCAGGCCAGGAGGGTGTGCAGTCCAACCACAGGGAGAAGGGAAGTGATTCCCAACCAGGGTGTGTGCACCCACATACCCTCAAGGCAGCCTGCGGAGCATCAAAAGCCCACTGGACATGGCCCTTAGCGTCCCATCTGTAGTCACTGCCTTATTAGACTGTCTTCCCAGTGATTGGAAAGCCACCAGAGTGGGAGAGATGTGTCTGATATGTGTGGGAAGCCCCACTGTCCAGCACAGAGCCTGACACCAAACATCCAGAAACTAACTATTGAACAAATGACGATCCAATAAATATTTACTGAGCACTGACTATGTACAGTTGCTGTGGACTAAGAGTGGGCAAAACAGACTTAATTCCAGCTTGTCATCCAGCTGGGCACACAGGGGCCATCAGTTCATCATCCGAATGTATGATCTGAAACAGTCTTATTTAAGATGACAGCATAGAGCACGGGCCAGCAAAGCAAGGCACAACAGCCAATCCAGTTCTTCACCGGGAACGTCTGCCGATCCATGGCACAGAACAGGGAAATAGGTGCAGAGGGGAAGTACTAGGTAGGGGTGGAGTGGAGGAGAGGTCCCTGACAGAGCAATAAGAAGCTTTAACAGTGGCTAGAACAGACAGCAGGGAAAGCACATGAGATTTCAAGGCCACCTTAAAGGTGTGGAGGGGTCTTTCTTCTAAGAGCAAAGAGAGGAGTGTGTGAATGAGGGTGGGGAGGTGAGGATGCATCAGGAAGTGAGATGAGAGAATATGTGCTCTCCAGAATGCTCCCAGTTCAGGGGAGGCGGGACAAGAACAGGAACAAATGGGGAGCCAGTTGGAAAGCCAGAGCCATCCCGTGACAGATGCTGGTGACTGGGTCAGGGGGACAGCAGAGGGCCACAGAGAATCACCCCAGATTGGAGCTGCATTCTGGAGCTGCACTTGTGTGGGGTGGACATGTCCACCTTTTCACCCCACAGCCCAGCTACTTCAAAATGACCACTTTCTCTCTGGAGGTGAAATTGCCTTTCAGACTGGGACAGTGACGCAGCCTCTCCCGTGATGTCAGTGCCGCCCTTTGGCCAGACACACTTCAGAGATAAGACCAGGACTTAATAATTGGGAAGAAACTCTGCAAGGGGGGAAATCTATTTTGGAAACCCAGCCTCAAAACCAACAGAATCACTAAATGTGAAAGAACAGAAAGAACAGTACAGTGGTCCCTCAGTGACCAGAGGAGACTGAGTCTAGAACCCCCGGAGCTACCAAAACCCAAGGATGTTCAAGTCCCTCCCAGCATAGGATTTTCACAGAACCTATGTACATCCTCTATGTACATTTTCAGAAAGCCTATGTACTTTAAATTATCTCTAGATTAACTTATACTACCTATTACAAGGGAAATGCTAGGAAAACAGTGGTAATACTATACTGCCAAATATCAGACATATACGATTTCTCCTTCCTTCCTTCCTTCTTTCCTTCCTTCCTTCCTTCCTCCCTCCCTCCCTTCTTTCCTTCATTTCTTCCTGCCTTCCTCCCCACCCCCCCTCCCTTCTTTCCTTCCTTCTTATCTCTTTATTTCCTTAGTGCTAGGAATAGGAGCCAAAGCCTTGCACATGCTAAGCAAGCACTTTGCCACTAAGGTATACTACTGGCACTTTTAATATATTTTTAATGCACAGTTGGTTGAAATCACAACAATGAAACCCACAGATACAGAGGGCCAACTGTATACTACAGATTCCAAGAGACCGGGATCCAACTCCTAACTCTAACACCTCCAAGATGTCTAACCTAGGTGCTACCATTTTGCCTAAATCTGTTTTCTCATCAATTAATAAAGCATAATACCGCTGTTCCTCTTGAGGTCGTCCTAAAGACTAAACATCAAAATTAGAGAAGGAAAAGCAATAAAAAACAGTAAGTTATTAATATTAAGCAGTATGCTACTTTTAGACATAAACAAGAGTGACAGTGAAAGAAATTAACTTTTTAAATTCTAAAAAATAGAATTCTATAAAAAATAACATTTTACATAATAAAAGTCATAGTAGTGAATTCTATTATTATTATATAGGAACATTAATCTAACATTCAGAGCATGACTTCCTCTCTCAGGATGTGGATGACACAATTATGAAGAAAAATAATGAAGAAGTCATGGATACAGCCACACTCACACCAACCACATCCATACTTATGCTCACACACACAGACCAACATGGCCAGAGAATTGTGAGCCCTCAATAACCTCTGTTTTCAAAAGCATGGAACAATGACTGGACTGAAAGCTTTGGTGTCCACTAGGATCACCTGGGAGCTCACTGAAAATGCAAATTCCCAAGCTACTATAAAAAATAACATTTTATATAATAGAAGTTATAGTAGTCCTCCCCAAACACACACACATACACACACACACATACACATACACACACACCCTGATTCAGGAGATCTAGAGTGGGATGTGAAATCTGCCTCCTAGGTAAATTCTGATGCAGGTAGACCTTGGATCCCAAAATAAGAAACCCTGTTCTACCAATACCAGTACCCACAGTGGGCCTTCAGGAAGAACCGAATCAATACATCAGTCTAATAACCTGGTGCTTCACATATACTGAGCCTCCTAACATAGGGTAGACCCAAAATGTCTGCACAAAATGCTGATAATTAAAAAAAAAAAAAAAATTGGGGAAGCAGCCCTTTTGCCCTTGAAGCTCACAAGCCTTGATAGACATTTAAACACCTGACTATGGGACAATGTAATATACTCATCAGGATACCAGATCTTTTCTGAGCAACTTCTAGATGCTTCTGAGCACTGGACATATATCAGTAAACAAGAGCTAAGCATCTCTGTAAAGATCTAGTCTTACAGGGACAGGAGTTTCAAAAATTTCAAAGCATACTGTAGTTTCTTGGACAGTAAGTGTTGTGGAGAAAAAACAAAGACGGGAAGGAGGGGGAGTGTCATTTTCAATCTGTGCCAGTTTCAAAGAATCCCCACTGCTCTGTAATGTGGCCCTCCATGCTGGGTTCAGGCTATTAAGCTCCCCAGAAGAACAAAGGGACGTGAGGACAGAACGACTGACTCTGCTGGTGGGCTGGGGTAACAGGGTGGGGGATAGGGGCAGTTTGCAGGCCCTGAATGAGATGAATGCCGAGCTGGAATGTTCCTCAGCCTCCCCCAGGGCTGCAGAGCATGGATGAGTTCTGATTGACATCACAAAACACTTCCAACAGGGACTAGACGCCTGTGTGTCTCTTACCTCTGCCAAAACGTATTATGTCTGGCCAACGCTATAAGCCTATGCAATTATGTCAGCCTTTCCTGGGTTGTAATGTCAACAGCAAGTTTTGGGATACATTTTCCATAAAAAGAGAACATGACCAAAATTAAAAACATTAAAAATACCAGAAAACAAAGATTTTCAATATTCATGTCCCCAACAATAGCTCTATTCATATTTTGCTGTGTTTTTTTCCCAGAGCCGTTGTTTAACATAACTAGGGCCACTACGCACCCATATAATTAGGTATCTTGCTCTTTTTATTGTTATGACACATGTGTATTTACTAAATATATAATTTTTAAGTTGGAACATATGCATTGTTCTGCTTTAAAAAATCTACATGAACATCATTTTTAATGGATACATAACATACCAGCCTACTACTGTACCACTCTTGATTCACCATTTCCCAGTTATTATGTATTTAGGTTCCTGAATTTTCATAATTACAAGTCATCCTGAAAATAACTTTACACAGAAAGATATTTCAAGTAGTTCCTCAAAACAGATTCCTAGAGCAAGGCATGGTGGCACATGCCTGTAATCCCAGCTACTTGGAAGGCTAAGTAGAAGGATTGCAAATTTTAGGCCAGCCTCAGCAAATTAGTGAGATCCTGACTCAAAATTAAAATCAAAGCCAAGAATGGTGGCGCATGCATGTAATCCCAGTGACTCAGAAGGCTGAGGCAGGAGGATTATAAATTCAATGCTAGTCTCAGCAACTTAGTGAGGCCCTAAGCCACTTAGTAAGACCTTGTCTCAAAATAAAAAATAAAAAGGGCTGGGATGTGGCTCAGTGGTTAAGCGTCCTGGGTTCAATCCCTGGTATCAATTTAAAAGGAAAAAAATTAAAATCAAAAGGGCTGGAGATACATAGGTCAGCAGTTGAACACTTGCCTAGCATGTATACGGTGCCAGGTCCTGGGTTCATCTCTAGTAGCTCAAAAAAAAAAATAAAAGAAGAAAGTAAAAAATCCCTAGAAGGAGAATTATGGGAAAGTGAAATGTTTTAGACAACTGCAAAAGCTGGCCATCTCTTGCCACCTTTTCTTGGCAGTAAGTGGTTTCAGAAGGGACATATTTACCTGCTGTCAGAATCCGAGGCGATCTCCTTTCTCCCTCCAAAGCGGATCTGGCACTGCAAGGAAAAAGAAACTGCTGAGATCAGCTGTGGGCACAGGATGCTCCAAACATCACAAAACAGCCCACACAGAACTTCAAGGTCAGGAGCAGGACACAGGGCCATAAATTCCCAATGCCGCATCTGGAGGTCCCCATACCCTGGTGACAGCACAGAGTTAAGAAGGTAAACATCTCTGCCACTTAAAGGAAGCCTCAGCACCCACTTGGGGAAGCCAACCTCGTGGGAAAACACACTGACAGGAAACAGAGCACATGGCTCTCTGCAGACCTCAGGGATGCTGCCCCGGCTGCCTGCTGCCACCACCCACACCAGGAGCTCTCAACAGGCAGCGAGTAAGACTCCCAAAGACCTGAGGGACGGCTCCTCTTTGACAGAGCCCCAGTTGTTATGACTGGCTGTAAAATGATGACCGCGTGGATCAAGCTTTGAACAAGTCATTGGGTTGTACTGAATGACAGTCTTTCCAGTGCGAGTACAAAATGGTTTGATGTCATCTCTATTTTACTACAATAATAAAAAAAAAAGTTAATAAACTTTTTTTTATTTTTTTATTATTGTAGTAAAATAGAGATGACATCAAACTTACCATATTAAGTATAAAATTCAATTCACAATGTTGTACATGACCATCACCACTATCCACTACTCTCTTTTAAAGGTGCAGAATCTCTGCTGTAGATAACAGACTTGAAAGATTCCTAAACTTCTGATCAAAAATACTTATAATTTGCCAGATGCAGTGGTGCATGCCTGAAATCCCACATCCTCAGGAGGCTGAGGCAGAGGTATCTTAAGTGTGAGGACAACCTGGGCAACTTAGCAAGACATGGCAACGCGCTGCTCAGCCACCCTGTGGAGAAAAGTGAACCAGATCCCAGGGAGAAGAAGGATGCTGAGAGAGGGCACATGAGCTGCCCCTGCACAAACAGCTACAAAGAGAGGAAGCTGGCATTCGACCCCAGCCACATCTGAGCCCAAGGCCATGTCCTTTCACCAATGCCCTTCTCAAAGGGACATCACTGAAAAACGAAGTCCTCCTGAGGGTTTGGAAACTCAAGACACAAGACCTCCTCCATCCCTAATTGGACCACCTTCCCTGTTCTACCATTTCCCAAGGGAAACTCTTCAGCATTCCCACAAACAAAGTAGTCTTTTATACAAAAGGCAAGAAGTGACTTCTACATTCATTACCTGACACCCTTGCTCAGCCCAAAAGCCAAGCGTGTGCGTTCTTCTTACCTGTTTTACTGCATCCAGCAGTCTCTCCAGCAGAAACTGTCTTTTGTCATTGTTCTGTGACCCTAAAATGCAATGAGGTTTAATTAGTTCTGTTTGATATTAGCCTTCTAATAAACCCTCTGACATTACAGTGTGTGGCTGTCCCCAACTAGGATCAGTCCTTTGCTGATATTTAACAAAATCAATAGCAAAACAAGGTACCAGGAATCTACATCATTACAATGAAGTTGGGCCATTTTCCTGTTTCTGCGTCACAGAAAACAGTTAGCCTAATTAAAATCAAAAGGGCTGGAGATACATGTTCCCCAAATTTGAGGAACATGTCCACAATGGTCTAGCTAAGGGTTTCTAACCTTGAACTACAGACACTGTAGAATGTTTATCAGCATCGCTGGCCTCTACCCACTAGATACCATCAGCACACACATAGCCCTGGGCTGTGACAATAAAAATGTCTCCAAATATTGCCATTATCTTCTGGGGAGAAAAACTGACTGCAGTTGACAACCCACATTCTAACATCAAAGATGAGATTCCTAGGTTGGGAGACCCTGCTTGCTGGCTGATCTCACCATTACCTCCAGCATCCTTTCCCCACACCACCTGCAGCAACCCACACTAAAACCCTAATAATTCCTCTTCTCAGCAGCAAGGCTGACCTTAAGAAGTCTGGCCAATGAGAAGTAATCAGAGGAGTACCGGGAAAGTTACACCTTTTTTTTTTTTTTTTTTTTTTTAAATTTTTTATTGTTGGCTGTTCAAAACATTACATAGTTCTTGATATATCATATTTCACAATTTGATTCAAGTGGGTTATGAGCTCCAGTTACACCTTTTTATACAGAGAACAGATATGCAGGGCATCATGCCTTCTTCCACTCACATGCCTTGCCTTAGTTGTAAACATGCAGGGTGGAGCCACAGCAATATCTTGCCATCATGAAGCCAAGTGCCTCAGGGAAAGGTCAAAAGAATTACAAAGGCACTAAACTGGATGGATATTATTGCTAAACCAATACCAGAAATGATGTAACTCTCAGCATAAAAACCCTCATTTGTTCGAGCCACTACACATTGGGCTGTTACTTGCAGCCAAAAACATTCCCAAATGAAACATACGACATACACCAAACTTCTGTTTAAGAAGGTCTGAGGCACCAAAGTACTAGGTGGGTCACTGATATTCTAAAACCAAAGTTCCATAAGAAGCACAATGACTCCAATCAACAGAGACAAGGCTGCAGGTTATGATGCAGGCCCAGAGCACAGTCTTTCAAAGATGTTCCACACCACAAGTGTTGAATTGCTATCAAGCTGCTTCTGTCTTGGGCAACTCTATGTGGACTGCACCAGAGAGGAGCACTGCCTCAGAGATGGTCCCTGATTCCTGCACATCAAGTAAAGGCCAATCAGTTGACAACAACTGCCACCATGTGTTGGACACTCCCGCATGACAGGCACAAGCTGAGCACTCTGCATGCATCGCCTCCTTTAACCTTCAAAATCCCCCTGGCAGTGGTGACACCACACATGCACAGGGAAACAAGCTCAGAGGCATCAAACGATGACGTGCACTGATCAGTGGATCCACTCAGGATGCATTTAACTTTTAAATGTGTGGCAAGCAATGCTCTAAGCAGCAAGGACACAGGAGTGTGCCACTTTCCCATGGAGCTAAAATCTACCAACAAGTGATGTTAGAAACCCAGGCTATAAAGAAAAACCAAACAGAGGGGTGAGATAGGAAGGAAGAGGGCCACTTAGCCAGTGCAGCCATAGGGGCCTCTTTACACAGATGGCATTTGAGCTGAGCCCTCTACAAAGAGGAGAAGCAGCCTTGGAAAAAAAAAACAGAAGGGCAAAAAATCCAGGCACAGCAAACAGCTGGGGGCCCTAGTCTTCCAGGACTAGAAGGAAGTCTGCCGTGACTTGAGCAAAAAAGAAAGGAACAGGAGGTCAGGCAGGGGCCAGTCACAGGGGGTGCGTGGACAAGGATAAAGGTTTAGATTTGCTCCAACTTGAACACTAATTGATGTGATCCTAACACAAGACTGCCCCTTTACAGCCTGTGTGAGGACCACCACACCAAGGCTCTTGCCTTATTCCAAGCCTGGAGAGAAAAACAGGAAGTTGATATTCCAGGACACACAGTAAAACAACCAATACATCAGATGCTACCATGTTCTTTTTTTTTTTTTTTTTTTTTTGGTGGGGGGGTTACTGGGGATTGAACTCAGGTGCACTTGGCCACTGAGCCACATCCACAGCCCTATTTTGTATTTTACTTAGAGACAGAGTCTCACTGAGCTGCTTAATGTCTTACTGTTGCTGAGGCTGGCTTTGAATTTGTGGTCCTCCCAAGCCGCGGGGATTACAGGTGTGCGCCACCACTGCCCAGTAAGAAGAGGGTCTTAACAAGGAAAACATTCCCAACAGAAGAGAATGGCCATCGTCATTCAGGATGGGTACAGACCTACCTGCCCAAGACCCTCCAACACCTCCCTTGACACCTGTGTCTATCAATAAATCCTGCTCCTACCAGGCACAGTAGTGCACACCTGTAATCCCAGCAGCTCAGGAGGCTGAGGCAAGAGGATCGCAAATTCAAAGCCAAACTAGCAACTTAGCAAGACCCTGACTCAAAATAAAAAAATAAAAAGGACTGGGGATGTGGCTCAGTGGTTAAGTGCCCTGGGTTTAATCTCTAGTACAAAAATAAAATAAGATACACCCTGTCCCTTGCACTTCCCTCCTTTTTAACATCAGAATACAGAAGTTGGGTCTTCTGCTTTTCTTTTTCAAAGTACTAGACCCAACAACTACTTGCCCTTGGGAATGCCAATGGGAAACTTGACAGAGTCTTGCTCCTGGAAATGCCTTTGCTATTTTTCACATTATAAAAGTAATTTATGTGAAAAATGCAATAAAAACAAATCAGAAAAAAATATATAAGGAAAATAATCTCTATCACCTCACTACTGACATATTCTAACACAGTGCTTCTCAAATTAACATGCACATGCATCTCCAGGGCATCTTGTTAAAAGGCAGGTTCTAGGGCTGAGGTTGTGGCTTAGTGGAAGAGCACTCACCTAGCACTGGGTTCAATCGTCAGCACCACATAAAAAATTAATAAATAAATAAAATAAAAATACTTTTAAAAAAAGGCAGGTTTTGATTCAGAAGGTGAACAGTGGGGCCTGAGATTCTGCATTTCTCACAGGCTTCCAGGTGATGTTGGTTGGCTCCTGACCTACACTTGAACAGAAAGAATTTAGCACATATACCTCTTGATATGCACAATAATCCTAGATATTTCTTAGGGTACTTTGCTGTCCTGCTTGTTCTAAGGCCCTCCTGGGCCTTACTTTGCAAAATCTCTCTTCATGGGGGTTGGGAGGCAGCCGATATTCTACAGAAAAGCAACCTAAGATTATACAGGTCTCAATCCAGAGGTTCACTTCCCCAGCTGTGATCTCTTCTGCAAGCAGGAAGCACTCAAATGAGACAATCCTGATCTTAGGACACCTGTGGCCATCTTAGCCCTGAAGAGGGGTTGTAAGAAGGGAGTCTCATAGGACACAAGGTGCACAGGTGACCTCGAGGACACTTATCAATGGTGAAGTGCCCAGAGAGGCCCCTGGCTATGAGGAATCTTGGGAGGAGCACTGAGTGGGAAGTCATAAGACATGAGTACTCATCCAAGCCAAGCTCCTTGGTATTCATGTGACAGGGACAATCACTTCCCTTCCCTGGGTACTGGTTTCTGCATAAGATCATGCCCTCCTAGTCAGCTCTACAGTCTGCAAACCCAGGGACCCTGTGAAGACAGGAAGATAGAGAAATCAGTGTCCTCTTTCTTACCTTACCCCAGTGACAGGCAGAGAATGCACCCCCACACATGCTCAGGCCAGAAGAATCCTCCAGCTTTAAGCACTGCAGCCACACAAAAGGAGCAGTGAGCTGATGCCCACTACTGAGCCCCGGCTACGGGTAAGTCGGTAAAGGACTGGCTTATTCAACCCTTAACAGAAGGTTCAGGGGCTCCATTCAACAGAGAGCACCAAGGCCCAGACAGGAAATGATCCAGAGCTAGACCACGGGAAATGTCAAAGAGGACTCAACTCCAAGTCCACTGGCTCATGGCAGTGCCACCTGCTAAATCCTGCTCACCCCTGTTACAAACCTGCCACTACAGCCCACTGCTAGTTCTGAAGGCATTTCTCGGTGATACTTGAGTGACCAAACCCCAGCCCTCTTGTTCCTTCTCCAGGGGCAGCCCCAGCCAACACCATCAACCAGGAAGCCAGAGGAGGATTTTTTTTCCCATTTCTTGTTAGATCACTACCAAAATGAGAATGGAAAATGGAAAGGAGCTCAAGGAATCCCTCCTGGCCCCACACACCTGTCAGAACTTCAGTCATCCTGCCACTAACACAGGTACCACACGCCCTCGTGAAATTCTATCACCTGGTGTGTATGTAGGTGCCACCTATTGTCTCTCTTTTTTGGGGGCTGGGGGGGGCAGTACCAGGGATTGAACTCAGGGGCACTCGACCACTGATCCACACCCCAACCCTATTTTGTATTTTATTTAGAGACAGGGTCTCACTGAGTTGCTTGGCCTCGCTTTTGCTGAGGCTGGCTTTGAACTTGTGATCCTCCTGCCTCAGTCTCCTGAGACACTGGGATTGCAGGCATGTGCCACCACATCTGGCTTGTTGTCTTTGATGTTTAGAGTCCTTAGGATGTAATGTTTAATTTCATGTGTAGATCCATTAGGGTCCTAAATTAATTTTTACCACAAGGCTCTGGTCTTCTGCCTGGAGTCTCCTTTCTAGCTAAGGGGCTGCCTGGGAAGAAAGAGTGGAAGAACAAGATAGGCCTATCCCTAACTATTCACCTATCTGCCTTAAGCGCTTCATCAGAGACCACCTCCTAGACCACTGAGTGAGTGAATGCACAGGGCACACCCAGACCAGGGCCTAGTATATACCGAGTACTTTATACACGTCCGATTTAACTGTTTTTGTTGCTGGCAGCTTACACTCCAGAGGCATCA